CTACTCAACTTCTATCACCCCTGAACCTTTAGCCGTGATAACGCGAAAGCAAGTAATGCAAACGCAGTAGCAATCTCTTGAAGAGCCAACGAAATAGATCGGCACACTTAGATCGATAGTTGGAACTTTGTCTAACAAACAGCCCTTTTTACCAAACAACCCTTAGCTCGTACAAACATTTCTGTTTATTTTTATTTTTATTTTTTTTATTTTTTTATTTCCTTCAATTCGAAGTACGAATAAGGAAGTACCTTTGGTTTTGTAATAAACTTCGCAAGTTGATTCGTAAAGATTTGAAATTCTTGTTCAGTGTTATTTCTATTTCCTTTCGTACTAGTGAAATTCTAGTTAGATATAGTTGGAACTAGGGAAAGGTAAAACAATTAGTATTGGTTGCTCGACAAAAGGTAATTGAAGTATTCACCCTCAAAAACAACCCCCTTAGTTCATTCAGAAATTTGTTTGATATTTTTCTTTTTATTTTTTCTTTTGTTCAATCGAAGTACGAATTAATGTAAGAAAGAGTAGATACACACCTTTGCTTTGTAATAATCTTCACGAATCGCATTGATTTTAAATTCTCATCGTCTTTTTTTCTTCTTTTGTTAAATTAATACTAGTGATATTCTAATTAAATATAATTAGAACTAGAAACAAGATAGAAGAACTAGTGGTGGTTGCTCGATTAAAGTTGAAGGGTGGTACTTCACTTACTTCCTCCCAGAGTGAAAATCTTTTGAGAGTATAATTATTCTAATGGCTTGGGTCCCGATCTTTTGGGGAAAACGAGCAAAAGTTCGCGAATGACTTTGAGATGATAAAAAATTAGTAAAGTAGACCTAGACGATACTCTAACCTCAAATCTCGTGCATATATATATATATATATATATAGAAAAATTAGGTGAAATTTCTAACTAATCAGAATGGTGACGGTAAATGACAGAATGTTTAAGTTTCATGGTTGAAAGATTTAAACTATGAATATAATAATATAAAACGTTGAAGAGAGAGAGAGAGAGAGAGAAAGAGAGAGAGGAATGAATGAAAGAAATGTTTGTCTTATTGTTTAAAACTTATTACAAAATATAATGGAAAAATTTGATAATTTGTTCAAATTTTACATTTCCAATAAAATAATGTAACTCGTCAATAGATAAGAACAATTCTTTGACGAATATAGTACAACCTTGAATGAAACATTGATTTATAATACAAATTGATTGAGTTTTATCAGAATTTCAGATTTCTAATAGAAAAATATGATTATAAATAGAATTTAGCACTGGATTTCTTGTGTTAGTTAATAATAAACAAACAAATAAACAAACAAATCGATACACATAGGGGTCCTTATCATGAAACTAACGTCACATATAGGGGTCGTAGCAACGAACGAACGAACGAACGAACGACCCATATATTGGGTTAATTTGCGATGCAACGAGCGTGCCACTACACACCGATTTCTCTATTGTCAACTCAAGAGGAAGAGAGTATTGCACGAGTACGTGTTAGGTTAATCCCTTTTACGAATAATTCGTGATCGTTCTAATATACAAGCAAACAAAAACTAATCAAAATCCACTAAATTATATTATTTTATTATATTATTTAATATTTTGTATTTTTTTTTAATTTTTCATTATGTATTTTAAATATAAATATTAAATGTTAAACATAAAACCAATCAAAATTCCCTAACTCGCATTATTTTATTATATTATTTAAATTATCATAATTTATATTATATACTAAATTAACATTTATTTCAATACAAAAAATACAATTTTTTTTTTATTTATTATAATATGAATTATTATAATTTAATGTTTTATTATGTGACATATATATTAAATATTATTATACATATTATTATATATTAGGATTAGTTTATTCTTCTTTTTTTATTTTTTTTTTTTTTTCTAACATAAGCTTACAAACAAAAGGGTTCGTACAGAAACACTGGAATATAACTCAATGCACTTTACTGCAATCGATGATATATGTCGCATAGTATACTCTTACGCATAAGCAAGTATAAAAAATGCTAATGTAGCTTACACATACACATATATATATATATATATATACATAAGCTTAACAGTTAGGTGGTGTGTACCAGGTTGAACCGTCAGTCCATTCGTTGAGAATCAACGAGAAAAGCAACTCATTATTCTCATTCCTGAGTGCATAGCACAACCAACGCCCGCCGGTGGCCCTTTCCTACCTTGTTTCCTACCTTCCTTCCTTCCTTCCTTCCTTCCTTCCTACCTACCTACCTTCTTCATCTGCGCGCAAATAATCATCGCTAGGATTTCCCATTGTATTATTGTGTCTGCCGTCGAGTGATAAACCCCCGTATGGCTCCCACACTCCTCAGGGAACTCACTCAGAGTCGTTCATTACTGATATAACCAACAAGATGGAATCCAACAATAAACGACACCCTTTTTAGTCCTTTAACCCCATAGAAATCAATTTAAACAAAACAAAAAAAAGAAATAATCAAGAACTTGTTGTAATCTTAACTGTATTAACCCTTTTGTACTCCTGTGTCGAGTATGACGCGACATCAGTTTTTATCTCAAAAGATAAAACTTTGAACAATAATCTAAAATATATATATTTAATTAAATTTGTTAATATTTAAATTGTCATATTTTTTAATTAAAATAAATTACAAATAAAAAAACATTTAAATGCATTAGAAGCTGCTGGAAAGAAAATGAATATATTATTCGAAGTGCGTAAGGGTTAATATCTCGACAAATTGGATTATGTTAAAATATTCGAAAAAGAAATGATTAAAAAAGGGAAAGGTACAGTTATTCGTCAAAAAGGGAATCCTAGGAAATATTATATAACAATTACATTAATATTAATTATTACAGATATACGAGTACTTATGTTTTATGTCAATTTCACCGTTCACTATTCGAATTATTCAAGTTTTCTAGGTTATAATTTACTATAATTAATTTTTCTTTATTTTATATTACTTACTATTATACTATTTTCAGTGTGTACTACACAAACATATGTATATATTATATTATTACAATTAATAATTTAGAATATAATCTTCTTTAGAATTTACACTTATTTTGGCGCGTTAAAGGAAAACATTGGCGGGAATAAAATTAATAATACGATGCGCGCGCACAGCGAGCGACACGAGTAAAACAATTTAACAGAATGAAGTTAGTCGATTATTTTCTTTCGATATAATCGACATTTCTTTTCAAATACTTTACGGATACTTTTGTTTCCCCATTGTATACGTAAACGTTGGTTACTAATTTAACTAAAAAGGGTTGTTTTATATCTCTATATCAAGATTGCAATTATCGATATCTCGATCATTCCTTAACCCGAGAAAACAACTATTGGTCCAATTTGAAATAGAAGTAGGGGAAGAAGGGTGTTTCTATTGAACGTGACACGGTCACGGTTAGAACTTAAACTCGAACGACTTCTACACACACATACATACATATATAGGGTGATTCAGAAACACGTGGCACCTAAATATCTCCGAAAGTATGACAGTAACAGAAAAGTTTGTCTAACACAAAAGTTGTATGAAAAATTATAGGTTATTATATGAAGTTAGTTTTGTTTTTTGCTAGGTGGAGCCACTTCCGAGATTTAACGGTCAACTTTGTTTTTTTTTTTAAATACAATACAATGCTATATTTGAATATTTATCTTTTTATATACATATATGTATATTCTTTCGATAATTCATCGAATATAGGGTAGATAGGAACCGATGAGTCGGATTATATGGGCACCTGGCAAAATCGATCCTTGAATTACGGCCACATTATGACTGCGAAACTTGCTAAGGCCCGCACTTTCCTACTTCGGAACGAATTAATCTGCGAGAAAGAAGAGGCAGAGGGTTATTAGATGAAAGAGAGGTTTAGAGAGAGAATAAGAGAGAGAGAGAGAGAGAGAGATAGAAGCAATGATTCATTTCGAGGGAAACTCAAGCTCTCCTACCAACCAACCAGAAACGAAAGATAGAAAGAGACGGTAAAGAGGTGAGGTGGGGATAGGTGTTAGGGGATTTTAGGAGAGGTGTACCAGAGGAATTCTGGTTACGTTTAACGATCGACGAACGTTCCTACTACCCCATCGTCGATTACAACGAAGATATTTCCCTTGTTAAATGCTGACGGTGCACCGGTTACCACCTCTCTCTCTCTCTCTCTCTCTCTCTTCTCTCTCTTTATATATATATATATTTCTCCGACATATATTATTGCTGATAACGTAAACGTACGGTGGTGGCAACCAACGTACGACAATGTACGATGCGTTGCGGTTTTCGCTTGACTTTACCCCCATAGAGAGACACGACACACTACGTAAACGTAGTATGTTTGTTGGTTGATATCGCGGTTATGTTTTTAGCGCGGAAAAAACCCTAACACCGGGGAATTTTTCGGATGTAATACTTTAGGAAAAGCTGAATTTATGAAGCGTTTTTCTCCTTTCTTTTTTTTATTCCACGTTTTTTTTTTTGGTCTTTTTTTTCTTGTTTGTTTGTTTGTTTGCTTGTTTGTTTTTTATCTTCATTCCGTCTAGGTTTTTGTTATTCTTCTTCTTTTTTTTTTCTTTTTTTTTTTTTTGTAACTCTACGTTAACGTCGGGGTTCGTTTAAAATATTGAAATTTAATCCGCTGTTAGTGTGGAAAAATAAAATAAAATAAAATAAAATAAAATAAAAGAAGAATTTATGGGAATTACATTTACTCAAAAAAACTAACAGTTTTGCAAAAAAAAAAAAAGAAAAAGATGAAGATGAAGATGAAGTTAAATATATCTTCATCTTCTTCGGATAAAATAAACGAGTGTCTTGGGAAATGAATTGGTGACGTTGATGAATAATAAAAGAAAGAAAAAAAAAAAGAAAAATCAAGATTGGTCGCGTTTCATTTGGGAATATAAAGTTTAAAGGTTTCACATATATACTCTTGTGTATGTCCCTAGCCAATCGGAATGCATTTAAAAAAGTACGAGTGGGTCGGTTCACCGGACATGGGAGATTGCTCGCTTTGGGTCAGATCGGCCATTTTGGAATTCGATGACGGTTTATGGCAGTGCCAAGTTACTGCAAGTGATTTTACAACGCAAGACGCACTAGCATCGGAACAAGCTAGGCTGGTCGTCAGGGGTAAGTTTTTTCTTGTTTATTTTTTGTTTATAACATTATGCAATAAAACGAAAATTCATTTGTCAAAAGAAAAATAAAGGGAAAAAAATATACGATAAGACATTTTTGAAGGAAAATTATCACGTGGAATTTTATACGTAACTTTTAGTATTTAATCAATCATTATAATATTATAGTACTTACTAAATTATTATAAATATAAATAAAATTTATTATAATATTATATTAAAATTATAATAATATATTATAATATTATTAAAATTAAAATTATTATTATAATATTATAATATTATAGTGTTTACTAAATTATTATAAATATAAAAATTATAATAAAATTAGTAAGTTATTTAAAAATCTATCGAAATCTGTAACGCAAAACCGAATCTAATTCTAATTCTAATTTAATTGAATTTAATTTAAATGTGCAAACTATAAAATACTCGAAAAAAAATATTCGAATACTTAGCACTAGTGATCTAATCTAATATTATTAATTATGAAATAGAAAGATTGAACGAAATAATTCTTTTGGAAAATATTTCAATACACAATTGTCGATAATAATATAAATTAAAATCGTGATAACTTTCCGAAACAACAGAATTATTGTTATTATTATTATTATTGTTATTATTAATACGTACCCGAGTAAACCTGTGTGTAGTGTAAATTTTCGTTGATTAAATTTTATTTATTTCTTTGTCAAACAAAAATCCCTTCAAAAAGAAAAAACAAACGAAAAACCTTAAAAGAAAAAGTAAAAAAGACAAAAAATACGGATTTCATTTAATATTTCATTCAGAATGTAACAACAATTCTCGTTACGTTGCTTCAAACGTTTACCCAAGCTTCGTCGAGGGTTTGATTGAGAAATAAACAATTTTAATTATAAACTAACAAAATATAATTAACGATAGATAACACATATACATATTTTACTATTCTTACAAAACAATTTGATTAATGAAAAACAATAAAAACATTTAAAAACAGTTTGACCTAAACAAAATCATATTCCCGATTTCATTAAAAATGTATTCCAAAATAACAACGTAGTAATAATAAACAAATAAATAATTAACAATAGGTAACACGTATATACATATATATATATACACATTATATATATATATATATATATACACATTATATATATATATATATATATATATTATACACATTTTTATTTATACACATATTAATACACATATAATACACATATAAATATATATATATATATATAGATATTATTCTATTCTTGCGAAACAATTTGAGTAATAAAAAAATAAAACATTTAAACGGAGCTTGTCTGAGAAAATCATATTCTCGATTTCATTAAAAATTTATTCCAGTAACAACATAATATATAATACTTCGAATGAAAATAAACCTCCCATATATCCACCCAGTTCGTATTGTCTCTCTCTCTCTCTCTCTCTCTCTCTCTCTCTCTCTCTCTCTCTCTCTCTCTTGTTTTAAT